ATATATATATGCATGCTAATTGTATAGTCAGAATACCGATTATTTAATTCTTAAATTCTTACTAAATTATTTATACACGCGCAAGATTCGCGCGAATTACATCGATTAACCTCGGATTGTCCACAATTTAAGGCATCATTCTCTTCATGACGTGTATGAAGTCGAAGTAACTAAGTAGGCGTTTTTTACACTACGCATACATCACTGCATGTGGTATCGCGCGATAAAAGTGAAATATATTCAATAAAATATCCTTTTTTCTACGCTCGAAAAGCGTTACCAACGTACTGTTTACGATATTATCACACTGATCTGCCTTACTTTACTAACAGATTTACCCTATTATTTGCAAATTTTCTTATCCGCTAAGAGTATACATATGATTTGTATACGATTGGTATAAGTATCAATTATTTGGAAGCGATATCAATAAACTCCCAGTTAATTGGAGGAGAGGAGAAAAGAAAGAGGAAGAGAGAGAGAGAGAGAGAGAGGGAACGAGCTAAGAAAAGGAGAAGAAATGATGAAATACAAAGACAGTATCATATCACAAGATAAGTCGCAAAGCAGACGCGAAGTTTCATGACATCTCGCGCATACTTGAGAAGAAAGTATGAAAAAACGACGATACTCGAAATTTATATGCGCGCCATCATCCGATAATAGTCGCACTGACTAAGTGGAATTAAATGACAGAGAGATCGTTCGCTCGCATATATGTATCAGAAACATACAGTGATTACATAATAATCGCCTAATTTATTGTAATAATTATATAAAGTTGCTTTCTTTAAATCACACATACTGAACCCACATGTAGTTCTTATTTCTTCTTTATGCTAAACTATAACTTTAGAATCAACAACCGTTAAAATCGTGAAAATTCTTTCGATTGCTTCTAATTATTGCTACGTCGACAACTACACAGCCAACGTACGGAAATTGCTCAATGTACAAAAGGGTCCTCCGCGCTATTCCATTCGCGATTTAATCCTCTCTATCATTCGCTCACCATTCTCAGCTCGCTAAATTGCTTACGTCTTTTTTGGCAACGTGCACACGTTTATCAAGCGGATATACACATGCAATAATTTAACTAATCGTTAAAATTACACTTAAACGGCGTCTGTATGTACAAAAGGGATGTGTTCTCACCTTTCCAAACTCATCGCGACAAGACATCATCCATCACAAAAGAAGAGATCGGTAAACGTTTCAAAGAAAAACTACGAATTAAAGCTAATCACGATTCCATCGATTCGGATTTTTCATCTTCTTAAAGACCCATTTATTGCATCCGTCGTAATGTCAAACGTCGCAACGTTCGTCGTGACGATGATGACTGAAAAGTTGACTCGACCTCAACATTTACAAGTACAACGACAATCGGGAAAGTTAATGATAGTCTTTCCGCCATTCCGACGCTGCTTATTGGCATCGTATTCTTAAGTTGGCCTTCAGCCAACTTTTACGATTGTCGTCGCGATATATGTCGCACCTACTTGCGACTGACATTGCGGCAAAAAAGCTTTATCGTAATTTCTACAAAGTGATATATTCGTTTCTTCTCTTAATACTGCCATGGGAAGCTCATAAGATGCCGATCGCACAATATAAATGCGCAAGTAGACCCTTCCTTTTCATACATATATAAAACAGCAATATTTTTTTATGATATAAGAAACCACGCATATTTCGATCATTAAATTATGGATGTATCCTCAAGACTTCTGATGATAACATCATTCGCACTCTCGACAACACACTCTTCGACTTGTACATCGCGAAGTCTCTCCCGAATTTTCGCGATAGAAAGAAACGATAACATAACAGCACGTTCGATCTTTAAAAAAAAACCAAGGAAACAGTCTACGAGCAAGTGACAAACGGATTTCACCTCCGTCCAATCGCGGTGCCCGTTCTATTATTTCAGAAGTCTAGGCAGTCGAGAGAATTTGAAGGAACACAGCGACGTCCTTACGTTCCGCCTAATTCCGGATCCTTGTCCGCCGTTTTGCTGGGTCCCGGGCTGTCGCGCGCTCCCGGCAGGTAGCCGTTGGTCGCTCGACCCGACGGCGGTTTCCAGCTGACCGGCCGCGGCTGGCTCAGCTCGTCGTACTCCGACTCGTTGTTTTGCTTGATTTCGTCGTAGACGTGCTCGACCTTCTTGCCATCGTTCTCGTCGATGCTGTGGTATACGTTCAGATTCGGATTCCCCATATCGGCATCCCTGTTCTTCAGATCGTACTGCAACCCGAACGCACCTGCAACGGAATCGCGCGATCGTAAAAACTTCTCGTCAAAATCGTCCATCCCTATAAGCGCCTATTTAATATTAAGTAATACTTCTTTTTTTTTTTTGGAGATCCCAGAATGTTTTACAATCTGTCCCTAATATATTTATATATTTTATATATTTTTTATTTATATATTTTTTTCTATATTATTATTATTTTTTAAATATTCTAAGGACATTTTTATAATGCGTCAAGAATATTATGTGAAATGGACATATAACATCAGTAGAACACTCTTGTAATATTAAAAAATATTACGCGCTTATAGGGGTTATTGTCGAAGAGACTGTGCGATACCTTTGCAATCGTCCTCGTCGTCAATATTCATGCCCAATTTGGCCCTCTCGTTGTTTATGTTCTTGTTGATACCGAGATTATTCCGGAAGTGGAAGTTGTTCAGCAGGGTGGTGGTGCCGTCGTCGAACTTCGAGCAGCCCTGATACGCGTACACCGGATTGTCGAATTGGTTTCGTTCTACGACGACAGACGAGACAACAGACTGAATTTCGCGAGATTTAAGTTCTTTTGCGATATTCTTCCGTTATATATATATATATATATATATATA